AGACTGGTTATCCGGTGAATATCGATTTCTAAATATAGCCTGTATGGAAATTCGCATTCGGAGGCTCGCATACAAAAATCAGAACCTTTAGTTTTGTTTTGTTTTATTTTATTGTTGAAACATATAATAAAACAGTTATGGGCTTTTGTGCTGGTAAATATGATGTGATATGAACCTGAAAGAGTGATATTGACCTCGGCTTCGCCTCAGTCAATATCACTCTTTCAGGTTCATATCACATCATATTCACCAGCACAAAAGTCCATAATTGTATATTATTAAATGCTTGAAAATTTCTCGCAATCACATTGGCCGGATCCTATACACGTGACCAGTCCTCAAAAATTCATCAAGACTGGTTATCCGGTGAATATCGATTTCTAAATATAGCCTGTATGGAAATTCCCCGGAACATGGCGTAGTGCATGCGCAGTTAGACTGGAACGTGATCTGTCAAACGACATTAGAAGATGGCTGCTGGCGAACGTTTCTCCTCCGTTACATCAGAAAATTACCAAAACTGTTCGAGGATAAAGATGCTGTTAACGTAAAAAAGGCCATTGAACACGCAGTGCATGTCCTCCATGCTTATCTTAAGAAAAAGAATCTAGACGATACCTTCGAAAGCTACAATGATGAACTGTTGTATTCAAACCTGGCTAAATTTTACACGGCGGCTCGCGTACAAAAATCAGAACCTTCAGTTCTGTTTTGTTTTATTTTATTGCCTCAGTTAATATCACTTTTTCAGGTTCATATCACATCATATTCACCAGCACAAAAGTCCATAATTGTATAATAGTCTATGCTGACATGACTGATATTATGAGGCACGTTTGGTATTATTTTTTTTATCCCACGGTGGCATTAACTCCCTACTAAAATTTTCTTTCTTCTCACAAAAATCACATTTTTGGGGATTGTTCTTTTCTGAGGCCGGGTTTCATGCAAATGGTCCTTTTGATATTAATGTAATGCTTTTCACTCAAATAAGATTACGATGACTTTCTCTCTCCTCAAATCGAATTTTGATGCCAGTCTTTGGTCTGTATGTCGATTCAGGCACTGGAATGACTTCGTGATCTTCGTCCAACACCAACTTGAATCTAAAAGACATGTTAATGTCATTTCATCAGTAAAGCGTTTGATGACAATAAGAATATTTAATCCAAATAAAAAGTGTTAGTAATTTCACACACTGAAAGTTTGTTGGCGATTTAAACAAGCAAGGTCATGGAATTAATGTCTCCCTTAATGATGTGTCCGAACAGCATCAACCAATCAGAACCCAGGAGTGTCTACTGCGTACATCAGAACAGTATCAACCAATCAGAACCCAGGAAGTGTCTGCGCTTTATAAATTCCATCAATTTTTAATTTTGCTTGATAATAAACATTTCATTAGCACCTCCCTCTATCTCTATGTAGGAAAGTGACGGACGAACCAGTAATCTGAGTAAATATCCATCGTTGCCACCCATTCAGACCCACATATACAGCTTGTCGTAGTTTCCCTGTTATTGTTTCTTGTTTATTCATTGCTTCGATTAAAGATGATGTGACGTTACCTTTTAACTATTCTTGACAAAAGCACTTTCTGTTCATTCATAGAAAAGTTTTGTCCAATACAATTTCTGGAAAAAATACAATGACATTATATACATTGATGTTTTAATTAATTGAGTCTGATATTTGTTTTTAGGCCATTAAAGGGCATGCCTCCCTTTAAGTAATGCATCTATGTGCTGGTATACATGGCAATTTCGCCACGGGTTAACTTTCGCGTTTTTCTCTCTCTGTAACGAAATTTCCATGAAATCGAATATTAGATCACACCATACCATACATAGTCATTACAAGAGAAGGACGAAGATAGCGATGGGCAAGTATGGGTTTTATCAGTAAGGGACGACGGCAAAACGTGTGCAAGAGAGTGTGAAAATGAAAATACTTGTTTTATATCTATGTTATGAAAAATATTTTGGGAAACAAAATGATAAAAAAAAGTACTTTAATATGAATACGACGCACAAAAAAAAGTATTTTCATCGCAAAAAAAGAAAAAAAAGTAAGGGACGACGTTCGTTAGCAAAAGTTTCCCGGTACAGTATGTGCTGTGGTGTATGTGTGCTGGGGTCAACGTAGTTAGTATTGTTCCCTCCCTGCGAATAGTGTTATCTCATAATTGTTTGACAGTGACAGTCTATTCTTATGATATGTAAAATACGTATATCGCCAAAATATTTACGTTGTTCACATAGAGGAATTAAATTTGTCATGCACAATTAAAAACGATGGTCATAGAACCACTGTCTATCCTTTTAAGCGTGAAGGTGGGCTAAACGTACTCGCAAAATAGAAACAAAACGAAGAGAGGAATTATCTCTAATTTAGTTCCTATTCCATAATGATATATTCATGAAACCGTCAATATACACAAGTAAAAATAAAAACGAGTGACATATAAGTGACTAACACGATTGACATTCTAAAATGGCAGACTGTTTTGTTTTTTTATCTTACCTTGGACCAGCAGAGAACGGTAAGAAAGCGTAAGGATCTCTTTCTTTGGAGTTCTCGGGCAGAAAACGTTCAGGTCGAAACACCTTCAACAGTACCGAAAGTAATAAAACAGGTTTGTTAATGTTGATACAATGTATGGCTATTTCTCAGCAATGTAACAGCGTTGTACTACATATAACTATCCGTATTCTTAATGTCGCTAGTTGTGCATAATTATATTGCATTTTGAATTCCAATTTTTTATTAAAAGAGAAAAATATGGCTCCAGGAAATCAGAAAACTTTCTTGTTACGCATTAATAACTACTAGTATACATAAAACCAGTAAATAAACCAAACAATACCTGGCTTTGTAAGGACGATATCAAACACAACAGTATGAGGTTGTGTTGACAGATAAAAGACAAATATAAATAGGACAAACAAGGATCTTACAATGGCAGCCGCCAAGATCCCTTTGGAATATCTTGCTTTTAAAAGTTACTCCTTCTTATCTGTGTATTGTTGGCGATTGTAAAAACAAGAGGAAATATATGACGGGGATGAGACACCATGTGACACTCGACATGTCAGGAAGGGATGTAATCATAAATGATAAAGGACACATATTATGTGTCTTTAATCTAGTTAAACACTGATGTATGTAGTGAAATACCACCCCTACTGTTTCATTTATATGCAAATGGGATGCTTATCTTCATGCTTAATGTATAATGATGAGTGTAAGCCTTTTTGGTTTATCAATTAAAACTAATACTATTATCCATATGTTGTAAAGCACTTTAGAGTAATGTTACAAATTTATATCGGGCGATATAAAAATGTTGTATATTATTATATTATTATTATACAAAAAACACTGTAAACTCTGACGTTTGGTCGCTGTGATGTGTCTTACAGTGTGGTCAGGATAGACATCTGGATGGTGGTGTAGATTAAGAAAGCTGACGGTCAGAGAAGTTCCGGTCGGGAAGGACACACCGTCTAGTTCTAATGGTTTACTGAGTTGTTTAGTAGAAAACATCACCGGCGGATACATCCTCATATTCTCCTTCATAAACAGTGTAAGTTTCTGTAGTTTTCCGAGATCCTCCCTGGGGGAAAAAATTGATTTGAGCAAAATTCTGTAAACTTTGTCTTCAAAGAGTATAAGATGTGATGTAATAAAACTGAATGAATCAAATGGAAACAACTTGTATTTAATTGCAATGAACATAACTGGATGAATAGGATATTTTCGTCGAGTTTTGTTAATGATACAACATTGATAGAGAGAGGATCAAAATGAATAAAACTGCCACTTATATAGTATACATTTACTTATACAACTGATATTATAGACACATAAAACTATTCAATTTTACATTGATATAAGGAGAATGATGTTACAAAAATGAGAATTAAATTAGCAAGCACTCTAATGTAGGTAGCTCTGCGTCATTATCAGAAAATGCATTTATCACGGTATTATGAAAAGTACAGCATTAAAATTGGGATTTGGTTTTATGTTGTTTAACGTCCTATCAAGAGTAAAGGTCATTCAAGGACGTGCCTTCAATGTGTGTTGTGTAAGCTTGCATGTGTATAGGAGAAAGGGAATGTTAGTGTATTTTGTATTAAACACGTAGCTTGAAATTGTAAGCTGCTACAATATTAAATACATGTATTATTAAAGAATACTACCTAATGTATACATTTATACATAACGGCTCGACACCTTTTCTTTACCTGAAATACCTCATAAACACAAACTATGCGATACTTTGTCTCACCATTGTATGAACGTCCGGTCTCCAGTGACGTCACACACCTCGCGGTACACTTTGTCCTGCTCCTCCGGATACTTTCCAAGGTTATACAGTGCCCAGGTTAGCGCTGCAAAGGTGGTGTCGTGGCCTGGAAGGATGGAATGGGATACTAGCAAACATTGACTCGTGTCCTAGAATGGTATCGTAACATAGTAATGTCAGACAAGGAAATAGCAAATATGGTAACATGTCCTAGGGTTGTGAAATAGGAAACTTCCAAATATTGTATCGTGCCCTAGGAGTGTAAAATAGGAAACTTACAAATATGGTATCGTGCCCTAGGAGTGTAAACTAGGAAACTTACAAATATGGTATCGTGCCCTAGGAGTGTAAACTAGGAAACTTACAAATATGGTATCGTGCCCTAGGAGTGTAAAATAGGAAACTTACAAATATGGTATCAAATTGTTCTTCTCTGAATGTATCACACTGGTAAATTTTCGATATTGGTCAATTTATTATAGAATGGGAAATGTAGGAAAACTAATTATCATAAAAATTCGACATATGTAATACACATTTTCAATCTGTGAAATGGAGGTATTAAACAATCATTACTCTGCGTTATTAGCCGAATAATGCAAGATACTGCTGTTTACAGCCGAATGAGGTTTTAACGTACCACGCACAAACATGTGATTGCACATTTGAACATTTGGTAATAAATACGGTATGGTAATAGATACTTCATTTGGTAATAAATACGGTATGGTAATAGATACAGTATGGTAATAGATACAGTATGGTAATAGATACAGTAAGGTAATAGATACAGTATGGTAATAGATACGGTATGGTAATAGATACAGTATGGTAAAAGATACGGTATGGTAAAATATACAATATGGTAATATATACAGTATGGTAATAGATACGGTATGGTAATAAATACGGTATGGTAATAGATACGGTATGGTAATAGATACAGTATGGTAATAGATACAGTATGGTAATAAATACGGTATGGTAATATATACGGTATGGTAAAATATACAATATGGTAATATATACGGTATGGTAATAGATACAGTATGGTAATAGATACGGTATGGTAATAGATACGGTATGCCAACAAGGAATGACACTACAGCATACATCTGTTTCGTTACGTCCTTCTAAGACCCATCGGTGATGCTGGGGCCAAAAAGTTAGAAATCGAAACTGGTCAAAACTACTGTTGAAACAGCAGGGGAGGTGCGTACAACTTAATTTCGTGAATTTCAGTTGGTTCGTAATCTAGATAATGAGTGAGGTAAGTATAATATGAACCATGGTACTAATGAAAGAGGCAACTGTAGCTATAAAGGTAACGGTAAACCTCGGGGACTGAGAGATACACCAACAGAGTCTACTACCTTATATCTTGAAAGATGAACGCAACACACACGAACAAACAATCACACCTGGCTACTCCAAGTAAAAACATTTTTTTTATGTCTAATAGTAAGATGATGTTTTTATCAAATAGTTTTATGTATCTGAACGTTTTTTTAAACTCAATAACTATTAATGTTTTTATTTACTATTTTTTTTTTATTTACCGGCAAACATGAACGTATCAACCTCATCCCGGATTTCTTTGTCCGTCAATCCGGCTCCGGAGTCGTCTTTAGCTGTCATTAGAATGTCCAGAAAATCAAGTCTCGGTTTGCCCTCCAGTAAAGACGGTTCGTCTTCCTGGAATAAAACAAACCAAAGTTAAAACAAAACTTAGATTCCGGAATTACATGCTCTTTCGGATTTCAACTGGTTAGAAACAGCTCACTTTCAATTCTATGTATAAGCATGTCTGCTGTGGTAGCGTGCCATACGCTTAGTATCAAATGTGGCTCTTAATATCGACTGACGAAATTTAACTTACTAACGCTTTCTTTCGTCTGGCTATCAGATCGTCGGCGAATCCGTGAATGTAATCCAGGTGTCTTTTATACTCTTTTCCGTCAGCAGACATCATATAGAGTGTCCAGGATAGGTACTGCCATGGATACCTGGCAATGTAACATCATAAGTACAATAGACAAAACGACAAAATTGTAAGGCAAAGTCGACACAAAAAAAGTCTAGAAAAAAATGTGTTTGTGTTTGATTTTGTCAAGGGTATCAGAAACGAATGTTGGCGTTAAGAAATGGTAGCTAGGCGATTTCGGGCGATAACGCAAAAGCTAATTGATCACAAACATAAGTACAGATTAGATTATGAATGTTTTAATAGATGATGAACCCTTTTAGAATGGTCATGACAGTTTATAACCTAGTCGAGTGCGAACGTTTTAACATAAAGGGGACAGAGAAGTCCAGACTGGGAAACATGAGCTTTCAACAAACAAGGGAACGCCCTCACGGAGGAGCTTGTACTCTTTAATCACTTAATAGACAGAGGGACGTCCATTTACTGGACAGACCAACACTAACTTTTAACAAACAAGGGAACGCCCTCATAGAGGAGCTTGTACTAATCACTTAATAGACAGAGGGACGTCCATTTACCGGACAGACCAACACTAACTTTTAACAAACAAGGGAACGCCCTAATAGAGGAGCTTGTACTAATCACTTAATAGACAGAGGGACGTCAATTTACCGGACAGACCAACAATAACTTTTAATAAACAGTAGAACGACGTCCATCATTCGGTAGACAAGCTTCCCCCATTAATTGACAAATGAATGTGCATCTTTAAAATATGTTTTGTATATCTTTAACTAGACTCAGTGACACATATATTTTGTATACCTTTAACTACACACTGTGACCATATATTTTGTATATCTTTCACTATACACAGTGACACATATATTTTGTATATCTTTAACTAGACTCAGTGACACATATATTTTGTATACCTTTAACTAGACACAGTGACACATATATTTTGTATACCTTTAACTATACACAGTGACACATATATTTTGTATATCTTTAACTAGACACAGTGACCATATATTTTGTATATCTTTCACTAGACACAATGACACATATATTTTGAATATTTTGAACTCGACACAATGACACATATATTTTGTATATCTTTAACTAGACTCAGTGACACATATATTTTGTATACCTTTAACTATACACAGTGGCTATATATTTTGTATACCTTTAACTAGACACAGTTACACATATATTTTGTATATCTTTACCTAGACTCAGTGTCACATATATTTTGTATACCTTTAACTCTACACAGTTACACATATATTTTGTATATCTTTAAATAGACCAATGGAACATATATTTTGTATATCTTTAACTAGACATAATGTCACATATATTTTGTATATCTTTAACTAGACACAGTGACCATATATTTTGTATATCTTTCACTAGACACAATGACACATATATTTTGTATATATTTAACTAGACTCAGTGACACATATATTTTGTATACCTTTAACTATACACAGTGGCCATATATTTTGTATACCTTTAACTATACACAGTGGCCATATATTTTGTATACCTTTAACTATACACAGTGACTCATATATTTTGTATATCTTTAACTAGACATAATGTCACATATATTTTGTATATCTTTAACTAGACACAGTGACCATATATTTTGTATATCTTTCACTAGACACAATGACACATATATTTTGTATATATTTAACTAGACACAGTGACACATATATTTTGTGTATCTTTACCTAGACACAATGACACATATATTTTGTGTATCTTTACCTAGACACAATGACACATATATTTTGAATATTTTGAACTCGACACAATGACACATATATTTTGTATACCTTTAACTATACACAGTGGCCATATATTTTGTATACCTTTAACTATACACAGTGGCTATATATTTTGTATACCTTTAACTAGACATAATGACACATATATTTTGTATATCTTTAACTAGACCCAGTGACACATATATTTTGTATATCTTTAAATAGACCAATGACACATATATTTTGTATATCTTTAACTAGACACAGTGACACATATATTTTGTATATCTTTAAATAGACCTATGACACATATATTTTGTATACCTTTAACTATACACAGTGACCATATATTTTGAATATTTTTAACTATACACAGTGACACATATATTTTGTATATCTTTAACTAGACACAGTAACACATATATTTTGTGTATCTTTAACTAGACACAGTGACCATATATTTTGTATATCTTAGCTAGACACAATGACACATATATTTTGAATATTTTGAACTCGACACAATGACACATATATTTTGTATATCTTTAACTAGACACAGTAACACATATATTTTGTGTATCTTTAACTAGACACAATGACACATAGATTTTGTGTATCTTTAACTAGACACAGTGACCATATATTTTGTATATCTTAGCTAGACACAATGGCACATATATTTTGAATATTTTGAACTCGACACAATGACACATATATTTTGTATACCTTTAACTATACACAGTGACCATATATTTTGAATATTTTTCACTATACACAGTGACACATATATTTTGTATATCTTAAACTAGACACAATGACACATATATTTTGTATACCTTTAACTATACACAGTGGCCATATATTTTGTATATCTTTAACTAGACACAATAACACATATATTTTGTATATTTTTAACTAGACACAGTGACACATATATTTTGTATATCTTTAACTAGACATAATGACAGATATATTTTGTATATCTTTAACTAGACATAATGACACATATATTTTGTATATCTTTAACTAGACATAATGACACATATATGTTATGTATCAATAATGTTGTATCGGCATGGCAATATATACCTACGTCATTCTCTGTGTATGAAGAAATCCTATCCTTTGTATTGCTGTGGCATAAGGGTGCTTCTCCCTGTAAATTTCAAGACAAGAAGTAAAAGTCACTAAGTGAGAGGGCTCACATAATTGTATTGACCCATAGTACCAGAAGCTGCCACATGACACATAATACGTTCATAGATTAATTTTCAAACATTGCTGTTCCGTTGTTTAAAATTATTGTTCAAAACATCGTAGCACTGATTTGAACATTGGCACCTGACTATGACCTCGATCTTGGAGGTGTAATATATGACACACCGTTTATACGCATATCTATCAGTGTGTTTATGGTGTTCAGAACAATCCGGATAGTTACTGTTAGAACTCCTTGTGTGGCCGTAACTCTGTTGTTGACGGGATTTTGAATGGTAAGTGATACACTGACTTTTCGTAAAACACATATTAATGAAATTTCACCCAAATACAAAGAGACTGTTATTTTGGTGATTATATTACTTCACTCTCAACGGCTCTAATTTATAAAACAATCAAACATTTAATCTGTCAACTAATACAGTTATCAGTCGATTAAATGGTTTAGTATTTTTAGTTTTATTTTTGTTTAACGTCCTATCAACAGCGAAGTTCATGTAAAGATGTGCCTCCATGTGTGTAGATCTGAGGCCGACTTTATAGTGCTATCTCACTGCAATACCAAGCCGAACACACCCAGCACAGTATTCCATCCGGTCACATTATACGGACAACGGGTGACAACCAGTTGTTGATATCTCCCTAAATGCTCAACGTTTAGAGGGGAACAATCGAGAAGACCAAAAACAAATATTATTGACTAAATGTTGAAGAACAACCAAATATAGTTCTGTGTGTACTCACTGTCTCTGGACGTTACCCTCGTAAGACAGAGCACATCTGAGTATCACATCTAGTGTTGCTAGGTTCAGAACGGACAGGATGTCTGTACTTTTCGGAGTTTCTTTCATTTGTCTGGCAAACTTTTCCTGTGGTGAAAAACGCAATAATATNGGGGGGGGGGGATAGCTATGCTTACCTGCAATATCTTTGATGATAATTTAACAAAATTTCTTTTCTGATCAAATAATTTATATCTAACAAGAGGCCCAGAGGGCCTGTATCGCTCACCTGAAAATGTTAGCAAAATTCAAGATGAAATAGCTAGATGTTGCTAGATGTCAGGGATTATATTTATATACAATTGGACAAAATCCTGTCATTCCTACAGGAAAAGGAGGATTTTGAACGTACCACCGTTAATACAAAATTAGTTCCCCTTCACTTAAGGATGCTTTTGACCAAATATGGACATAATCCTGTCATTCCTACAGAAAAAGAAGGATTTTAAAGCTTTTTTTCTATTTTCCCTATTTGGCCCCTCCCCTCTGCCCCAGGGGGTTAAAACCCACAGTTTATTCAAAATTGTTTTCCCTTCACCCAAGGGTGCTTCGTCCTAAATTTGGACAAAATCCTGTCATTCTTACAAAAGTATATGGATTTTGAAGATGTTTCCCCTATTGGGCCCCACCCCTCTGCCCAGGGGGTCAGACCCAACGTTTAAACAAGATATAGTCACCTTCACCAAAGGATGCTTTAGACCAAATATGGAAAAAATCTTGTCATTCTTACAGAAGAAGAAGGATTTTAAAGAATGTGCTAAATTACCCCTTTTGGGCCCCACCTCTCAGGTCCCAGGGGGTTCAGACTCACCATTTGATTTCCCTTCCTCATATGATGCTACTGTTCAAATTTGATAAAAATACCTTCATCCAAACGGAGGGATGTTCAAGCTATTCCTCCATATCCCTTATTGGACCCGCCTCTCTGCCCCCAGGAGGGTGAGGCCAACCGTACACTATTGGTTCCCATTCACCAAAGGGTGCTTCTTACCAAATTTGGACAAAATAAATTCTGTCATTCCTACAGAAGAAGAAGGATTTTGAAGAGTTTGCTCTATTTCCCCTTTCGGGGCCCACCCCTCTGCCCCCAGGGGGCCACATCCACCGTTTATGCAAAATTGAGTCCTCTTGGCCCAAAGATGCTCACGACTAAATTAGAATAAAATCATTTAATCCCTACGGTAGAAGAAGGATATTAAAGGTTTTACCTCTACTTCCATTGTTTGGCCCCGCCTCTCTGCCCCAAGGGGGCCACATTTACCATTTATACAAAATTGTGTACCCTTTGACCAAGGATGCTCCAGACTGATTTAGGATAAAATTCCTTAATCCCTATGGTAGAAAAAGGATTTTAAAGATTTTACCTCTATCCCATTTTCGGTCCCGCTCTACTGCCCGCAAGGGGGCCAGACCCACCATTTATACAAAATTTTGTTCCCTTGGCCCAAGGATGCTCCAGACTAAATTAGGATAAAATTCTCTAATCCCTGCGATAGAAGAAGGATTTTAAAGGTTTTACCTCTATTTCCATTGTTTGGCCTCGCCCATCTGACCCAGAGGGGCCACAACCACCGTTTATACAAAATTGAGTCCCCTTGGCCTAAGGATGATCCAGACCAAATTTAGTCAAAATCTACTTGGCCGTTCTGGACTAGTAGCGTTTTTAAGGAAAGTTGACGGACGGACGACGGACGCTGTGTAATGGCATAAGCTCACCTGGTCCGCCATGGTCCTTCGGACCAGGTGAGCTAATGAAACGAAAATTGTGTTTGAAGAAAAGAGGTTGTGTGATGAGAAAATATAGATAATTGGTTATAACTTTATGCAAACTTTTTTATGGCTCATAATTGCTCTGATAAGAACGATTATTGGATGAACTTGCTCTGATATGACAAATCACATGTATATCGTAGTTGAAATTGAAATGATTTAAATATGCCATTTAAAGCGTTATTTAAAAAAAACACTTATTGGATAAACTTTGATTATGTACAAGTAATAATTACCAGCACAATATCAGTCGCTTCGTTGTATATTCTAATATATGGACGCAACACATCAAAATGAAAAGCTGGAGTGAGCAACTTCCGATTTCTTTGCCATTTCCCCCCGTTGCTTGTAACCAATCCGTCACCTGTAAGAAACAAGACATAACGTCATGATTCACATTTGTTGTAGCTCAACACTACAGAATATATACTAGGGTCTACTGGTTGGAAGTTGATGAAGTTAAGTTTTATCGTATTTAATCGTAATGACACTGTGGTGGATGGCAATACTAAGCTGTATTAAGTTCAAGCAACTAGTATAGGATATCTTCAATATTAGAAATGAACGATTAAGAGATCATATAAAATCGTGTCACCGACCTTTGATAGAAGACGACGCATCTATTTCCCCTAAATCACACTCAACTTGAGTTAACCTCAGACTGAGCTCAAACGCTTTTGGAATTGTAGTTAGATCGGGCTTGTTCATGGTGGCTCAAACGTATGAGCAATAAGTCGTTGAAAACGAAGCAGAACAGAATATTTGTTAAGAGTTGCTTCCAACCAAAGTGTTTGATTTAGACGAGGAAAACCCACGTGTGAAATATTTACTGAACACTCCTGAATAGAATACATGTTGTGTTCTGTATCCCTCTTTTAGTAAGATTATCGGTACAGTCGGATGAGTCGCTGAAGCTATTTGTGTGAATTTTCAGGTGTTTTATTTGTTTTGTGTCTGTATTTTCAACCTCCCAACTGAAGTGTCATGTTACTTGAATAGGACAGCAAGGAAGCCACAATACCGAACAACACCTTTCTATACTCTACTTTTCTCCGCCACAATACAGAACAACCCCTTTCTATACTCTACTCTTCCCCGCCACAATACAGAACAACCCCTTTCTATCCTCTCCTCTTCTCCGCCACAATACTGAACAACACCTTTCTATACTCTACTTTTCTCCGCCACACTACAGAACAACACCTTTCTATACTCTACTTTTCTCCGCCACACTACAGAACAACACCTTTCTATACTCTCCTCTTCTCCGCCACAATACCGAAAAACACCTTTCTATACTCTACTCTTCTCCGCCACTAGAAAGAATCTAAGTGTTTTCGCAAGAGCACAAACACCTCTTGCCATCGCCTGCGGGACCAAACTTATGTCTAAGCTAGTTTCTTTCATAGACTGAAGTACACTTTTCGATCTGTCATAGACTGAAGTGCATTTTTCGATCTGTCATAGACTGAAGGATGCTTTTCGATCTGTCATAGACTGAAGTACACTTTTCGATCTGTCATGGACTGAAGTATACTTGCCGATCTGTCTTAGACTGAAGTACACTTTTCGATATGTGATAGACTGAAGGATGCTTTTCGATCTGTCATAGACTGAAGGGTGCTTTTCGATCTGTCATAGACTGAAGTACTCTTTTCGATCTGTCTTAGACTGAAGTACACTTTTCGATATGTGATAGACTGAAGGATGCTTTTCGATCTGTCATAGACTGAAGTACACTCTTCGATCTGTCATAGACTGAAGTACACTTTTCGATCTGTCATGGACTGAAGTATACTTTCCGATCTGTCTTAGACTGAAGTACACTTTTCGATCTGTGATAGACTGAAGTACACTTTTTGATCTGTCATAGACTGAAGGACACTTTTCGATCTGTCATAGACTGAGGGATGCTTTTCGATCTATCATAGACTGAAGAACAAATTTCGAGCTGTCATAGACTGAAGTACACTTTTTGATCTGTCATAGACTGAAGTACCCTTATCGATCTGTCATAGACTGAAGTACCCTTATCGATCTGTCATAGACTGAAGAACAAATTTCGAGCTGTCATAGACTGAAGTACACCCTTCGATCTGTTATAGACTGATGTACACTTTTCGATCTGTCATAGACCGAAGGATGTTTTTCTATCTGTCATAGACTGAAGAACAAATTTCGAGCTGTCATAGACTGAAGTACACTTTCCGATCTGTCATAGCCCGAAGTACCCTTTTCGATCTGTCATGGACTGAAGTACATCTTTCGATCTGTCATAGACTGACGAATACTTTTCGATCTGTCATAGACCGAAGGATGTTTTTCTATCTGTCATAGACTGAAGGATACTTTTTGATCTGTCATAGACTGAAGTACCCTTATCGATCTGTCATAGACTGAAGAACAAATTTCGAGCTGTCATAGACTGAAGTACACCCTTCGATCTGTTATAGACTGATGTACACTTTTCGATCTGTCATAGACTGAAGTACACTCTTCGATCTGTCATAGACTGAAGGGTGCTTTTCGATCTGTCATAGACCGAAGGATGTTTTTCTATCTGTCATAGACTGAAGGATGTTTTTCTATCTGTCATAGACTGAAGAACAAATTTCGAGCTGTCATAGACTGAAGTACACTTTCCGATCTGTCATAGACTGAAGTACCCTTATCGATCTGTCATAGACTGAAGGCATGCTTTTCGATCTGTCATAGTCTGAAGGATTCTTTTCGATCTGTCATAGACTGAAGCGCGCTTTTCGATCTGTCATAGACTTAAATACACTTTTCGATCTGTCATGGACTGAGGGATGCTTTTCGATCTGTCATTGTTTGAAGGATGTTTTTCTATCTGTCATAGACTGAAGAACAAATTTCGATCTGTCATAGACTGAAGTACACTTTCCGATCTGTCATAGACTGAAGTACACTTTTTGATCTGTCATAGACTGAAGGATGCTTTTCGATCTGTCATAGTTTGAAGGATGTTTTTCTATCTGTCATAGACTGAAGGATGCTTTTCGATCTGTCATAGACTGAAGGATACTTTTCGACTCCGACACCGTATCATTCATAACATGTGCTGAATATCAAACAGGAGGTAAACATTAAATGGTCATTACTTACCCAAGAATTGATTCAAAACGCTATATATCTGACCCCTCCCTCTTGGTTTGGGGTCAGACAGTTTTAACACGGCTTTTGCACTGTCGGGATGGTTGGCTTGGATTAACGGTACAAAGCTTGTCCAGAATATGGTCCATTTAGTGTTACGAGTCTTCTGCCAAAGCACTGCGTTAGGTGAGTTAAACAGCGGCCTCATATCCGTCATCTAGAAAAGCAGCATTATTGTACCCTCATGTACGGATGAATGTTACCTTACTAAGGCACGTTACCCCTTTCAAAACAGTGAAATACTCCGAAACAGGTGAAATATCTTTAAAACTGGGTTAAAACACCTGCCGACACAGTTGACATAAGAATGCATACTTTATAACATTCATGTTATTCTGAAGTTTTTGACAGTGTAATTTTAATAAATATTTTAAAGTTTTAAATGACTTCTGTATGTAAAGTGGCACTCATGATCTTTTATTGATACCACGGTTAAAACACCGGGCCCGATAGGCATTATCTCACGATTTGTTACTTATTTTAGATCTAGCCAATTCCATATTTCAATCCATGCACCAAATTCAATTCCAACAACATTTTATAAAAGGCATCAACATACATAGTACATAAAAGAATATCTTATTACAAAATCGTTCTTCATGTGTCCCCAAAACCAATGGGCAGGACCTGCTTGGGCGAATTTCTTCAGCGTCCGACAGAGGGCGTTGTATCTCCACAGGGCAGTAACGACAGTCCACAACACGTACCCGGTCACCAGGGCGACCACGATCTGCATAAAATCGTCCATGGCTCTAGGGGGAAAGTAATGGTTTACTTAGATAAAATGGTAATATTGTCTGACAAAGATTTATAACGAAGACGTGTGAGCTTTTACCTAAACACACTGCAATCACTAGTATGTGTAAATTGAAAGTTCAAATCAGACTAGTTTATCTGTAGTTTCACTATACAGCTTTTCACAATTAAAAGTATTATAAGCACAATACAACGGCTGGCTGAGAATAGAATGCCTTGTTGGGACGTATTTAGAACTGGGGTTTTCTATGTTTATCTTACTGTAACTAGGTTTTTCAAAGTTTTCTGAATAGATCTACAACCACTTTTATATTTTGATAGTGTTACACACACATTTGGTCAACACTGCCAGAGTTGTGTCCTTATTGTACATGTAATGGTCTGAAGATGTGATAAGAAAAGTTGAACGTTATCCAAGGAAACAAGTGTTCGGTTCTCTATCTGACGTTATATTACACCACAATACCCTGTGGTCCCAGACAAGCCCAATTAACATTTCAATTAAGGGCGAAAATGCTGTCCCCTTAATGTTACCGTCAATGCTATTTTTACCTAAAAGTAAATAAGATCTATAATAAATGTTGAAGAATTGGTTGATATTATTACACTGCGGAACTTTGGGCCTGTAAATCTCCATCATTCCGTATCTGTTCTGGAAGTGTCAGTGGCAACAACTGGTTCACCCGTTGTCAGTATAATGTATAATGTGACCGGGCGGAATGCTGTGCTGGGCCCTTTCGGGATGGTATTTCAGTGAGATAGCACTATAAAGTCGGCAACAGATCAGCGCTATCACAAGGAGGCAAGTACACAAACACACATGTACGTTTACACAACACATATGGAGGCACGTCCTTAAATGACCTTAGCTGTTAATAGGACGTTAAACAAAATAGAAGTAAACATAACCAAATCTCTCTAGGCGTCCTTAGATGTTGCGAGGACGTTAGAATATGAACAAACAAAAACCTAAGCTGAAAGAAGAATCACTTTAAATGGCATGTACGAGTGAAGTTTGCAATTGAGTATAGGCGTTACATGATATATACAGGTAATACAATGACTTACCACGGTCGTTCGGGAAGCTGAGAAACTATACCACACTGATACCTAACTCACCTATATATATATATAGAAACCTACCTTAGATAACACGGCTTGTGCGTACGGTTTTATTAGGTCACCTGATACAAAGTCTCAAGTATCCTATTGCTATCGCCTTTTGTCCGGCGTCGTCCGTCGTCCGTCGTGCGTCCGTAAACAATTTACGTTTTCGACTTCTTCTCCAAAACCCCTGAACCAATTTGAATGAAATTTTGCAGTGGCCTGAGGGGCAAGGCCAAAAATGGTCAATTTGACTAAAACTTCAAAAATCTTCTTCTCAAGATCGAGATATGATAGAATCAAATATTGGAATTAATTCAAACTTGGTTAGCATTATCAGTATAGGATAGCAGTTTGATAATATGCACAAATCAGTCTTGACTGACCCCCAGGGGCTGAAGGGTGGGGCCAAAAAAGGTCGAATTGACTGAAATTTCAAAAATCTTCTTCTCAATACCAAGATATGGTAGAATCAAATACTCTTCATAGATGGAAGGATCGTAAGGTGCTTTACCAAAATAGTGAATTTCATGACCCTGGGGTCTCACGTTTCCCCCTTGGGAGGGGATAAACTTGACTATTGTTTATATAGGGAAATCACATTTTGGACCAGCATTTGTTTAATTTCCATTGGAATTAATTCAAACTTGGTTAGCATTATCAGTATAGGATAGCAGCTTGATAATATGCACAAATCAGTCTTGACTGACCCCCAGGGGCTGAAGGGTGGGGCCAAAAAAGGTCGAATTGACTGAAATTTCAAAAATCTTGTTCTCAATACCAAGATATGGTAGAATCAAATACTCTTCATAGATGGAAGGGTCTTAAGGTGCTTTATTAAAATTGTGAATTTCATGACCATGTGATCTCACGTTTCCCCATGGGGAGGGGATAAGTTTTACTATAGTTTATATAGGGAAATCACATTTTGGACCAATATTTGTTTAATTTCCATCGGAAATCATTCAAACTTGGTTATCATTATCATTATTGGATAGCAGTTCAATGATAAACCTAAATCAGCCCTGACTGACCCGCAGGGGCTGATGGGTGGGGCCAGAAAGGGTTGAATTGACTAAATTCCAAAAATCTTCTTCTCAATACCATGATATGGTAGAATCAAATACTCTTCATAGATGAAAGGGTCTTAAGGTGCTGTACCAAAATTGTGAATTTCATGACCCTGGGGTCTCACGTTTCCCCCTTGGGAGGGTATACATTTTTACTATAGTTTATACAGGGAACTCACATTTTGGACCAACATTTGTTTAATTGCTATTGGAATTAATTCAAACTTCGTTAGTATTATCAGCATTGGATATAAGTTTGATGGTATGCCCATATCAGCCCTGACTGACCCCCAGGGGCTGATGGGTGGGGCCAAAAAGGGTTGAATTGACTTGTTATAGACCGTTATCTAGTTGTGGGTTGATAACATTAGTAAACAGACAGCGTAAATAATAAGGCGCCCGAGCGAAGTTCTTTAATAGTTACACATGCGTTGGTAAACAGAGTTGCTTCCCCTTGCTACACCTTGCCTTTAATTTTTGCGTCCGGAGGTAGACGTCCAGTCGGGAAACAGGAAGTGTATCCTTGAAGCAAAGACAATTGTGTTTCAACCCATACATGAATATCTTCATATAGTGAAAACGATCTTCATATTTTATTACTTGTTTATTTAGATAAAACATGATATACATTCTGAGTGAAAAAAGTTTATCACATAAAATGTGACACTAACAGGCATGAAACTTCGTTCAGAGATTATCATACTATGACCCATCGGCCTTCATCGGTTATTTCCGGAAGGATGCAAAATAACCAGAAAACTCTGGAACTGATGTCCATTGCATTTATCTCTTTGTCGGTGCTTCAAGACTTTTTTTATATTTCAGTTTTTTCCACAAGCACAAAAAGTAAAAATGCGGATATTTTCTGAAGATCTTTTTTGTCATCAACCCGGTTCTATTAATATTTCTACCGGGAAATATCTTCAAAAAGAGATCATTTAAAATTTCATCAGCTTTTGATTTCTATTTGTTGAGAATGTGAACGAAAGTCTGGATATAGTCTTGACATTATGTATGCATCACCACTCATAAAAGAAGCAATGGAAAATGCATTTTTGACGAAATCAACAATAATTTACCAGACAACCAACCCAAGTACAACGCCCTTTTTCGGCAACGTATTACTATTTCACAACGTGTGCCGATTTATAACTAGTTACAGACAGAAACTGTAATTTTATTTGGCATCATTACCTGTCAAAACTCGGTGACAGTCACAAAAGTTGAAATTCAATCCGGTATTTCAGGATGGAACAGTAATTGAGACTACATATCGATATAAAAACAATTTCAGTTACATCAAAGTATTACGTTGTTTTCTTTTTGTAATTTATTTTTTTAACTAACATCTCGATAAATTTAGACTAATCGTCAAATATGTAATATTCACTTTTTTCTATAGCAATTATCAAACATTTGTCCCCCAGCTTATCTCAATCATTTTTTTTTGTGCCCTGACAGACGCACGCAGAGGATTTATTTCTTAAAATGGGAGGAAGCTGGAGTATCCGGAGAAAACCCGCCTGTTCAGGCAGGTGACCGGGATAGAATCCGGCCATCTTGGTGAAGTCGAGCGCACTATCTACTGCGCCACCCAACCCATCATATACGTTACGCCAGAGACATATAACGCCATGTAGTATATACGTCTCTGTTGTATGTACGTCTCTGGTTACGCACAAGAACAAATATCTACTTAAGCTTTGACTGGAAGAACATGGCGTCATTGATGCAAAAATTATATTGTGAATACATTTTTACCAATCATCAATGATATAAAAAAAAAAATCTACATACGGGAGACCGGGGAAAGATCGGCCATCCCTGATATTTTTTGTTTTTGAGATAATATTTACAATATTTAAAATAATCACAATTTTTTACTTGGTATCAGATTAAATGACAATCTGACCAGTACATATATCAAAATGTTTGGTGTAACACCAAAGTAGACGAATCAGATTAGAACAAAATAACCGTATTTCCTTAAAACGAAACTCCTTGGAACTCCTTGCAAATCCCTTTCAAAAGCAGCCCAAACAATCAGTCCCTTTAGTCAACAAAACAATTACGGACTATTAGATAATAGCCCATGTATATAACAGGTATGTGTATCTCAAACAGTGGTTCTTAAGAACCTGCCAAATTTAAGTTGTATTCATAGTACTATGAACGAAAATGTTTCATCATGAGATGTGCATTTTTCAACACAGTGAATTAGTTTTTATCAGTCACTAAAATGTCCAAGATTGTTCTGTTCTGTCATTATCGGTTAACTGGTAATACATACACAAATAAGAACTATAATCAAGTGAATAAGCACTAGCGTGTTTTATGAAATATATAGGTAAACCATTTACATTAAAAGCGGTATGATCATCACAAATGTACGATTAAATCAAAGTGTGCGTCGAGCAAATGTCAAATAATGAGTGAAGTGCGGCATCAATTAAAGTGAATAAATGTTCACGTATGTGTTGTTAGAAGCGATGTTTAGTTAAATTCTAGGAATTCAAGATGGTTATAAATAAAAAAAAATCTTGATGTTGATGGCCTTGTCTTTCCTCTCGAAAGAACTTTTCTGGGATTACGAAATTAAGAAACTTCTCTCTTTCCGAATCGATATTAAAATATATTATCAACATAAATATTTCTTTGGTGGATTTCTTCTTTGCTTAAATGAGATTCTGATGACTTTATCTCTCCTCAAATCGGATTTTGATGCCGTTCTTTGGTCGTAAAGTCAACTCCGTTACCGGAATGACATCGTGGTCCTCATCTAACACAATTTTGAATCTGAAAAATGTATTGATATAATTTTGCAAATATTGTATACAATAACAGTTGTCATAAGTTTCATCAACTCTTCGTTAAGTGTGATTTATTCAAATTACATGTAAGTTCTGAATAAATGCTGTGATGTGCTCCTATATGGAGAAATGTATATACGTTGTAAAAGCATCAACTGATAAACATTTAGGAGGTCCTCATATGTTCCAATTGAATTGCCATCAAGCGAACAATTTTTGAACGCCATAAATATTTTGGATAGATTTAAGAACAGTTCATGTACTGCCGAAACAAACACTACAATCGTTGATTGTTTGCATTTAATTGTTTCATGATCATTTTTGTATCCATTGATATCACTCTTGCATGCTATTTGTTGCTTGTTTTAAATATCATTACCTTTTGATAATTCTAGACAACATCACTTTCTGTTCATTCATGGAAAAGTTTTGTCCAATGCAATTCCTGGAATAAATACAATAATTCGATAATGATGGTTTATGTGATTTAAGGGATCTGGAAAAAAATCCTAATTATTTATAAGTATACCTTTGTTTAAAACACGAAGTTCTGTTTATTTTAGTGGGTGTATCAGAAAGGTAATATAAAAAATACAAACCAAGCAATCAGATGCTGATGAAAAGTAACAAATAAAGATACATTAAATGATATAAAAAATCACAAAAACCTAGTCAAGGTAATGAGCTACAAAGCGAGGAAATCGAATCTATGTAATTTCAAAAACGATATATAATAGAAAATATTATTTTGGAATGTAATTTTTTACTCAATGTATACGGATATCTCGGGGTAGATATTCATGACGAATGTCTGTAGCTGTACCTTCAGACGAAATTAAGATATTACGAATCACTATTATTACATACGTATCAATTCACTGGCATCACGAATACCTAAACATCTCTCGAAGATAGATTTACATGCACAACAATGGACGTAGTGTCATTGACTTCCATTCGAGCGTGGAGAATAACGCTAAAATAGTTGGTTAAAAAATTAATTTACAGAATGGAATTGTTTCTATTTTTGTTCATTCAGTGAGGTAAGATCCACACCAATAAATCGCTCAAAGCAAACTAGTAAAAATCATTCAATATGAATCACTATAAATACAAAGTAAAGACGCGTCTATTTAAAAGTGGATTTTCTTCGGTGCAGAAACCGATTGAAAATTTAAGATTCGTATTTACTGCGCCAGTTTGTCCATTTAGAGCATTGGCAGTTAAGGACAAAACAAAATGACAAAAAAACTTTCAAGTCATTCATTTTCTGAACCACGTGTAATACAGCGAAATATCTTACCTGGGACCGGCAGAGAACGGTAAAAAGGCGTAAGGATCACGATCTTCGGAATTCTCCGGCAGAAAACGTTCGGGTCGAAACACCTGTAACGGAAATTGAAATATTAATAAGACTTGTTTTTCTTGTCAGCATGTCTATGTCTGAGGAATGCACAAGCATTATACTAAATATAACCACCCCTATTACCTTGGGGTACACATATAAATGTGTTAATAAATCAGAGGCCGGGGCGGCCATCTTGGATGCGCAACTGTAAATAAGTATCTCCTACGATAATTTTAACTTTAGTTAATTGCGACTACTATGACTATGTTGTCAATATTCTTTAAATGGGCAAGTGAACACATCATTAATGAACACCGTTTTCATATGACCTTGATATGACCGTAGCTACGATGACGTAAAACTCCATACAAAATTACAAACAAAAGCTTGTAATAGCTGATGTAAAATGAGGACTAAAATTACAACCATGTTGTTAGCTCATAGCCTGACTTTTTAACAACCTACGCGTGATTGGCGGGAAGGGCGGCCATATTTTTCCTAAAATAACCAGCCATGCAATAAGTGGCTCTATGACTGCGAAAATATTCGAAACTCGAAAATTGAGTGTGTTTTTGGAGGAAACGGATATATTTTCCGTGGAAGGAGAACACATTTTACGTGCATATAGGAGGATTGTCCATCTTTCTAACGATAATAAGCATTTTCATTTTACATTAACTAGAAATGTTAAATAAAAAACATCAGTTTAGAAATAGAAATGTGGTTTTTGATGCAAGAAAGTCTGGTGGGGTCGATTTATCGACATCAAGAGCTTTACTCCCTTCTCGTATAAAATCATCACTGGGGTTAGTATTCTTACCGAAGATCTGAACCCACCAAACGTGTAAATTACTCAAAACGCCTTAGCTTAGGTCCAACTAAAGCTGTATCAAGCTCTCAGGTCCCTGTGCGCTGGGTAACAGCAGGTGAATTCTTACGTCAATCCCCGACCTTTAGGCGTGTCAGAACAGAGAGGTCATGAACCACATATGGCACCCGTCATGATAACTCCTTTCATTCCAAAAAACAGTCACAAACATGCAAAAACAGTATACGCTCTGGCCCGGTGTACCCTGTCTCACCTTGGGGTCAGGATAGATGTCGGGATGACGGTGTAGACCAATCATGCCAACTGACAGACAAGTTCCGGCCGGGAAGGAGACGCCGTCTAGTTCAAGAGGTTTTTGAAGAAGTCTAGTAGTGGACAACACAGGGGGAAACATCCTCATGCTCTCCTTCATAAACAATGTCAGTTTGTGTAGTTTTCCAAGATCCTCCCTGTCAAAAAAATTGAAATGAGACAACTAACCTATTCACCATTTATGACTTCTATCTTTGTTTTTGACTTAGGTATTCCATCCCGCGCTTAAATCCTCAAGGCAGGAAAAGATTACCAATCCCCCGTTTGGTCATTTGCCTCCTAATTAATTAATACACCGAAACATAGCAGCCAGACAGATAAAAATAAGAATGATAATTCGAGGTTCTTATATACCGCTTTATCACAGCCTAGTTCGTAGGTCGTCTCAAAGCGGTTCACAAATTATTATCCGTGGTTATAGGGCCTTGCAACGAGCCAATATCTTTCTCAACTTTCTGGGGAGCATACAGCCGGTGCTGCCATTTCGGCGCTCACAGCTAGCATTCAAGAATTATAGCACTGCCCACGTACTCAGTTACAGCTGAGTAGACTGGAACAAGCGAAAGAAAGTATCTTGTTCAAAGATACAACACAGTGCCATGTCGTTACTCGAACCCACAACCCTTCGGTCACGAGCCCGGCGCCCTATTACTAGACTACCATGCCTCCAGTTTAACAGATACGCTAACCTCAAAAACAGTCCAATTTATTTTTACCACAACAAACACAAAATATCCTATATTTGTTCTCACCATAGTATGTACGTCCGGTCTCCCGTGACGTCGCACACCTCCCGATAAACTTTGTCCTGCTCCTCGGGGTGAAGTCCAAAGTTATACAGGGCCCATCTCAGAGCTGCGAATGTAGTATCGTGTCCTAGACGTAAGAAACAGAACATTTACAATATTTCGAGTCCTAGAGAGGTAAATAAGGCAAATAGTGTGTTTGAGATTGTCTCGTGCAACAAATTCTGTCTAATATAGCACACTATAAGGGATCCCTGCATTACTGTCATAAATTAACAATTCATTGGAACATTTTTCATGGTATAACTGTAGCTTTGCTAAGTCAATTCTGAAAAGAAAATCTTTCCCGCAGAAATATTTACGACGAAATAAAACAAATAAAGAATGAACAACACCTTTCTGAATGCAAAAACAACAACTAGGCAAAACCAGAATTTGAACACTTGACCTCCAAAAATTAAACCGTTCCTGTATCCACTTAAGATAGGAGGTCAGCATTAATATTCTCGCCCATTTGCACTACAGTTATATCCAGAAAGAAATTGAAAGGAGGCTACTCTTTATCTACGAAAAAACAGCAATGGAATTATCTTGTGCTCTTCATGGCGTAGGACAGAGATCCTTCAGTCGATAATTTAGAGTTAATGCCTCCCCACCTTCCTACCCTTGCAGAATCGGCGGTGATTTATTCCTTGACGTCTACTGAAGAAACAACACGTGTCGTAAGAGACGACCAATGTTGGGCCCCTTGCAGAATTCGTTTTTTTCTTCAGTTTTTGCTGTTGATAGGGACATTGATCTACTGCCACCATTGCAACTCTTCAGACCTTTATCTTTTTCTATCTTACTTGTCTACTTTATGGTTTTCTTATCTCTTTTCCGATGTTGTCCTCATAAGACCATGGCATTTGCAGACAATCATTTATCTTACTAATTATCTAATGGATGACTATCATTTACTTACCAGCGAACATAAAGGTATCCACCTCATCCCGGATTTCCTTGTCCGTCAATCCGGCTCCGGAGTCGTCCTTAGCTGTCATCAGAATGTCCAGAAAATCAAGTCTATGTTTGCCCTCCAATAACGATGGATTTTCAGCCTGGATTCACAAACATAAAACAAACTACATTAACACCCCCGCGCTAACATACGGGCCAACAAAAAATATTTATTTAGGTTGAACTAACCCGGTTCATAATTGTTGTAAAATATATAAGTTTCTATTAGGTTGGAAACCTCACGACTCAATTTCTCAGGAAACGTCCCTTGAGCTTAGCCTCAAGTATGGCACTGATTATATCCTGTCATTATTTTAACTCACCAAAGCTTTCTTTCGTTTGGCTATCAGATCGTCGGCGAATCCATGAATGTAATCCATGTGTTTTTTGTACTCCTTTCCGTCGGCAGACATCATATAGAGTGTCCAGGAGATAAATTGCCAGGGATACCTAGCAATGAGAATAAAAGTGACATTGTATAATAAACAAAAACTATACCCAACGTCCAAATATTGCGGCAATATTGTTTCTCAAAGTCGAGACGGAAAGACATCATGGACGCCAAATGAACAGAAATGACATCGACAAAGGCATAACAAAATACCGGTCATGTCCATTTTTGCTGCACCGCTGAACAGTTTCTTGTCCATTTTGTTCGAATAATATTAACCTGTACCTTTTAAAAATTTAAAATCAACTGAAATCAATAAAACAAATTAAATACAAAGGTACGTGTTATGTTTATTATTGATTACAATTTAACATATGTATTTTAGTGACATTTAAAAGCTGTTTTAGAATTTGTGAATAGAGCTTTTTGGAGATAGGTACAAACAAGAACATTTACTATTCGCAAACATTTTCCAAAGACTAGACTGTATGACATGATATCCGTAGCTCCTATTCAAACAGGCATTTTTTTCAAAACCCGCAAGAAATTGAGCTACTAGAATTATGTTACTGAATTTGTTGACAATTTTTTATAAATAGTAACGTCTAAATTGAGTAAGGAACCCCGAAACACGAACTAATTTGGGGTACGTTCGTATTTAACCTTTGTATATAGTTGATAGAAAGAAATAACGGCGCTATAGCGGATGCCACTGGTTCGGGACTTGAATGCCATGGGTAATACACAACGACGGAGGCATAAAAATAGAATCCGTTCATTTAAGAAAGACAGAGGATTGGAAACATCCATATAGACAAACGAACTTGCACCCTTTTCACAAACAGGAGAATATGCACCGTTTATCAGGCAGGGGAACGGGTAACATAAAACAGAACACAGGAAATACATCTTTCAATTGAATAAGAAATTTGAAAGTAAACTTGATGTTAACAGACAGAGGTTTGGTTTTTGTTTGGTTTTATATTGTTTAACGTCCTATTAAAAGCTAAAAGCTATGGTCATTTAGGACGTGCCTCCATGTGTGTTGTGTAAGTGTGCATGTGTGTTAGTGTGACGGACACAGGGTATATTAATGTAATTGCCTCCTTGTGGTAGCGCGGATATGACGCCGACTGTATAGCACCATCTCACTGAAATACCATGCCGAAGGCACCCTACCTTGCACAGCATTCCGCCCGGTCACATTATATTGACAACGGGTGAACCAGTTGATGCCATTACCTTCAATGCTGAACATTAAGCAGGGAATAACAACTTCCATTTTTAAGAACTTTAACAGACAGAGGAGGATATCAACAAAGTGACGCAGACATGTTGTTTACCGAGAGGAAGTGATTAAAACTTGATTACAAATGCGTGGCTGTATACTTACGTCATCCTCTTCATTATGAGTACCCCTATTCTGTGTGTGGCAGCCGCATAAGGGTGGTTCTTTCTGGAACATTGAATGCATATACATAAGGTGAGAAAGATATCAAAGTGATCTCCCCTTCGTGGACTTGGTAGGGTATTTATTCTAACTTTATAATCCATACAAGCATTGTAGTGATTTGGACTTTTTTAGGCTTTAACCCTAGACTTTTGGTTAAGTTTAATATTTTACAAACCACCACAACAAACATATCTTTGAGCTTTCATCAATATAGAGTTCATACGCTGTAATATGGACAAGTTTTATGATGATTTTAACTTTGTCCGCCCTGTCATGACCTTAACATTACCAGTAGGGGTCTATAGGGAATTCGCAATTCCCAAAAATTACGCTTTATCAGATATTCAGTGATTTAGAAATAACAGTCCGGTCAAGATCTGAACGGACGGATGAAAAAACAAGAAAGGCTGCTATTTTATTCCCAGGTTTTTTTTCTCATACGCGGTATACATTACACTGTAAACAAATAGTCTAAATAAATGAAAGGTCTGTGTTTGTATAATAATGATCGTTTATGAAACGACATACTAACGTGCGACCTTCTTAGTGTCCATATCAATTACACTCTGGTTCTATGTCATACCAAAATAGCACAAGCGAACAGTACGTCAGCAATTCGTCGGTATAAAATGACCGAAACAGAGTAACCAAGATAACAGTTCATGTCCAGTGAAGTAGGATAGGGAAATTCAACCATGTCATTATCTTAATTCCACGAATTTGGATGTATGTGAAGGGCGATAACTGTAAACTAGAAAACAATATTTCAATCTTTTGGTATAAATCTATGTGGTCTGTTTACATTTAGCTTGTAGATAATCACATTTGTCCATTAACATTCAATATAAAAACACTTTGGGTAACGTGTTTTATTAATTTTGGGTTAAATGAAATATTTGTTGGGTTAAATAGTAATGGTTCTTTTCATTTTCTATTGTCCAAAAAAATATGAAAATTGATAAAAATTCATATTTTTTCTATTTCATTTCGAAAAATATCCCCAATCTATCGGAATGCTGTTATTCTCATAAAATCGCCTCTTTATAATTGCATAACCACTATTTTAACGTTTCAACGAAATCTACTGGTTAATTATGAAAGGGTGGACCCCTAAATAATTAAGTATATGTCCAGACAATTAAATCACACCTTCCGTGTGTACTCACTGTCGCTGGATGTTTCCCTCGTAAGACAGAGAACATCTGAGTATCACATCCAGTGTGGCCAGGTCTAGAACGTCTGAGATGTCGGTACTTTTAGGGGTTTCTTTCATTTGTCTGGCGAACTTTTCCTGCAATGTGTCAATGATAAACGTGTAGAATATAGGGTTAACAGTCCTTTTCTACAATTCTATTTTTATACTGAAAATATGGAAATTCTCGCGTGTGATCATTTTCGCGTTGTGATTATAAACTTGTTGCGATGTAGAGATTTTCGCATTAGCAATGGTTTTAATATCTAATATATGACAGTAAGTTCACAGAGAAAATCCTGGAATTTCAGAGCAGTGGGCCATTTTCAGGAATTTTTAGTCATTATCAAAATTAAGAGGGGCCATTCTATGTAAAATTAAAATAAAATTGGAACATGGAGGGGTCAATTTCAGTTATGAGGGGTCAATGGACCCATGGCCCCCTCCAGGACTATCCCTGAGTTCATATTTACGTGTGGATATATTTGCGCTCATCTACTTAATGCGGAAAACGCGAGCATTTCCACACCGCTAAAATTTCCACTTTAAAGTACACGATTCAAAACTCCTCAAAGTTCTATATAAGCATCGTCTTTTTCAAGTGTTTTCTCTTCGCAGCAATTTATATCTAATTCACTTGAATATCCCAATAATAAGGAAAAGCAAACAGAAGAATACATCAGAGCGAAAAGATAGATAACACAAAAAATACGACCCTGAATCAAATCTACCGCTTCATCAAAGATCTTAGACTTGTCTACATCCCGGTAACTAGCTCCTCTGTATACAAACAGTTGATAGACTCAACAGTACAATATCAACAAAAAGACTTACCAGTACAATATCAGCAACAAGACTTACCAGTACAATATCAGCAACAAGACTTACCAGTACAATATCAGCAACAAGACTCACCAGTACAATATCAGCAACAAGACTCACCAGTACAATATCAGCAACAATACTCACCAGTACAATATCAGAAACAATACTCACCAGTACAATATCAGCAACAAGACTCACAAGTACAATATCAGCAACAATACTCACCAGCACAATATCAGCAACAAGACTCACCAGTACAATATCAGCAACAAGACTCACCAGTACAATATCAGAAACAAGACTCATCAGTACAATATCAGCAACAAGACTCACCAGTATAATGTCAGCAACAAGACTCACCAGTACAATATCAGAAACAAGACTCACCAGTACAATATCAGAAACAAGACTCACCAGTACAATACCAGCAACAAGACTCACAAGTACAATATCAGCAACAAGACTCACCAGTATAATGTCAGCAACAAGACTCACCAGTACAATATCGGCAACAAGACTCCCCAGTACAATATCAGCAACAAGACTCACCAGTATAATGTCAGCAACAAGACTCACCAGTACAATATCGGCAACAAGACTCACCAGTACAATATCAGCAAAAAGACTCACCAGTACAATATCAGCAACAAGACTCACCAGTACAATGTCAGCAACAAGACTCACCAGTACAATATCGGCAACAAGACTCACCAGTACAATATCAGCAACAAGACTCACCAGTACAATATCAGCAAAACGACTCACCAGTACAATATCAGAAACAATACTCACCAGTACAATATCAGCCACAAGACTCACCAGTACAATTTCAGCAACAAGACTCATCAGTATAATATCAGCAACAAGACTCGCCAGTACAATATCAGCAACAAGGCTCACCAGTACAATATCAGAAACAAGACTCACCAGTACAATTTCAGCAACAAGACTCACCAATACAATGTCAGCAACAAGACTCACCATTACAATATCAGCAACAAGCCTCACCAGTACAATATCAGCAACAAGACTCACCAGTACAATATCAGCCGCCTCGTTGTATATCTTAACATACGGACGCAGCACATCAAAATGAAAAGCTGGAGTGAGCAATTTTCGGTTTCTTTCCCATTTTTTCCCGTTGCTTGTAACTAATCCGTCACCTAGAAAACAAAATACTTTACGTCATGATCCCGTTTAGTTACAAGGGTTTATCACCAAAACGTCATGTGCAATCGTGATAGAAGATTGGACAGAAACAAGGTAGACTGTTACATTACAAACGTCAGTTTTGTTATATTGCCATACTTAGGACTAGCCTGTTATTCTAAGATTACTCTTTCTATGTGTAATAGGACGAATAACAGTGATAAAGATAATGCATTCGCTGGGGACCGGAACCCGTGACCCCTGGAGAGCTGGGTACCGGAACCCGTGACCCTTGGCTCTCCAGCCCTATGCTCTACCGCTGAGCTAAATTCCCTATAGCTGACGCTTGTAAGACAACCTAATCAATGCACATCTTTTACACTATTCCCCCCTTTTTTCTAACACAACCCTGGTTTTTTGACTCCCCGCCAGGGGTTCTCCTACCTTGAACGGGGAGGGTCAATGGCACCAATTTGTAATAGGACGAGGAACAGTGATAAAGATAGTGCCGTCGATGGGGCTCGAACCTGCGACCCTTAGCTATCCAGCCTGATGCTCTACCGTTGAGCTACAGGGACATTCCCTACACCTGACGCTTGTAAGGCAACCTAATAAATGCACATCTTATATATATATGCATAGCTAAGGTCATTTCAGGACGTGCACCCGTGTGTGTAATGTTCAAGTGCTTGAGGCGGCATGTTGGTGTGTTAGCCTCCTTGCAGTGGCACTGATCTGATGCCTACTTTACAGTACTAATTAGAAGGAATACCTTGTCGAAGACACTCAGCACGGTACTCCCCTTGTCACATTATTCCAACAGCGAGCATACGTTAAGTAAGGATGAACAACAATCATTTTAAGGGTATGACCCGTCCTAGGAACACTAAGGCGAAGACTGAGGCCAAACGTGAAGTGGACACATTTACTGTCAGTTATATTCAGTCAAACGTCTTATCATCGGAGTAAAAGACTTTGATTGATTGTTGTTAGGAAGTAACGAAAGTGTATAAACATCCCATATGTTGCAATATGTTCAGCAGATTAGCAAGTAGACTGCACAAAGGCACAATTCAAGCCCTGTGTATATCGTCCTGCTCTGTGATGATGTTGTTGCATATGTCAAGGAGTGTACGTACGACTCCAAACTTTGGGCGTAGTGGAGGATGCGAATTGAAAGCCAAGTATTGATCAGTGTGTGTCGGTTTGTGGTACACTAATAGTTTGATGGTGACGTTTTCTTTGCGGACGATGATCGTGTCTAAGAATGGTATGGTCCCGTCCTTTTCCTCCTCGGGGGTAAATGTAATGGAATTTGTTTTGTCCAATTGGTTGAGGTGATCTGTTAGGCCCTGCACTGCTCCCTTTTTGATTATTTCTAGGATGTCATCCACATACCGTTTCCAAAGTTTGGGGCCGCATTCCATGGGTGCCGATCTAATGGTGGTCTGCTTTCGGTTTTCCCTGAACAGATTCGCGACAATGGGTGACACAGGACTTCCCATAGCGGTACCGTACTTCTATTGGTACACATGTCATCTGAACACGAAGTTTGTCGTGTCCATGACAAATGTTAGTAGTTCGATGATGTTGTCTACTGATAGGTTTGTTCTTTTCTGGAGTGTCTTGTCTGCTGTTAATCTCTCTCTGTTGATATTGATAGCTACTTGTACTGGTGTGTTGGGGAGCAGTGACACCACGTCGTGGGAGTTGAAACTGTCCTGTTCTTCAAAAAGTACACTTTCCTAGTCAGATGCTAGTTGTTTGGAATCCTGGCATGGTGTTTGTGTACTGCTAGGGATCGTGACAGATTGTAACCAATCGACCCAGTGCAGTCCAATATAGGACGCTACGGGTAGCCCGGTTTATGGATTTTGGGCATGCAATACAATCTAGGGATTTTTTCTGATGTCTTGTATTGCTGATCTGTGATGTGAATTTCCTCACATCGTTGTAAAGGGGCCTGTTCGTTTATTCGGAACAACCGGGTTGTTCAGTTTACATAACAAAATGTAACATTTTCGGGTACAAATCCTAGCGGACTTGCAAATGTTTATGCAGGCCTTGTAAGGCTTTACCAAGGCTCGCCTGAAAGTACAATCAGATTAGTAGGTCCGACCTTATTTCATAAACGAACAACTCTGGTCCAGCCGAAACAACCGGTTGGATCGCGATAAAGGAAAGTGGCCTTGAAAAAATACAAATCGCTCACTCAGTCAAAGCTTAAAAAAGGGACCAGTCGGTCTTGAAACGTTGCGACATGTTTAAAACGTACATTGTTTGTGTAGAAGGTAAAACTTTGATATTACATATTTCCAAAGTGAAACTGATGAATTTTATTGAAGGTATGAATTGTTGAACTATTGAAGAAAAATAACATATCTAGAAACGTTATACATTCTGTTCTGTATCCCTCTTTAAGTAGGGGAAGAGTGCAGTGTGTATTTCTCCCACAACCACTGTAGGTTTCCTCACTCATGACTCATTGGATAAACCTGCTCGGAGTTGGTAAATAGTTTTGGCTACCCTAATAGTGGGTAACACCATTGACGTGATTTCATTGGTCAATCTTTGATTTATGACGTCACGTAACAATGCTTTTGACGTCATTTTCCATTGTAACGTCATGCATCATGGCAAATATTTCCCCAATCGAAAACACACATGATGTATTTCCAAGGGGAAAATGTGATTTTTCAGATAAAATACGAACGTTATGGGAGAAACAGGTCCCCAAACTCGTGAAGATTAGTTATCACGTTTCTCTGACTCTCGTTAGTTAATTTCAAACTGAAAAAAAACCTTGGTTAACCTCGTGTCTTTATACAATTTGATGATTAACTAACTCGAGTTAGATAAACATGATAACCAACCACCACTCGTTGGGGAACCTCTATATAACTTTAGATGCTGCGAGTAAGTAAACACTTCGCTAACAAAAACAATCCCTTCCGATTAATTTCGAGTGGGACAAGAAAAAGTTGAAAATTGAAAATGTGCCTTACTTACCTAGAAACTCATTAAAGATGCTATATACCTGGCCCCTCCCTCTAGGTTTGGGATCGGACAGTTTTAACACGGCTTTCGCACTGTCGGGATGGTTGGCTTGGATTAATGGTATAAAACTCATCCAGACTATGGCCCATTTAGTGTTGTGAGACATCTTGTACAGTTCTTCGTCAGGCAAGCTCAGTACCGATCGCAAATCAGACATCTAGAAGAAGAAAAAAGGAAGAAATGCTACATTTTAATGTGCATGACCTAAAACTCCAACCAAACAAACTCGCAGATGTCTAACGAGGATGTTGCGGAATGGTCAATGATCAATAGGGAACCGTCGGTACTTTCCGTAAACGAGAAAATACTATATACTAGAACTCGGAATGTGCCGACAGTTCCCGATTGGGTCAATGACTCCCTTTATCATGGGTAGAGATCGAGGATGTGTATTGTAGATCTGTGACATGGTTAACTATTACAATAAGTCACCATTCATCTTGCAGGCGATACATCCACTTCCGTGGATACTTGTTATTTCATTGCATGCACCGTATATAAAATTTGAGGATGGCACAGTGGAAAGTGCACTCGTCTTTCACTAAGACAGCCGGGTTGCGATTCCACTGATCGGACGTGAAAAGGTATGGGTTCACCCGCCCGACCACTTGGGTCTATTCTGGGCACTCTAGTTTTATCTCACATTACTACTGACATTTTATCTTCAAATTGTTGAAGTTGGTCAGTACCATTTAGAAGAAGTAAGGCCCTACGCGTGCTTCCATCCGGCTAAGGATGTACTCTTCTGATGTTTCAATCACGTTCAAGTCTCGTTTTGATCTGGTGTAATGGGTTTTTGTAATATTTAACAAATCATTATCAAGTTTATTAGCAAACAAGCATCTGAAAAATATGTCAAAAAACTAGATGCCTGTTGTTTGTAGAACTTTTTTTAACAAGAATTTAAAAAGAAATACCAATTCGGCGGCCATTTTGAAATGTGTATTAATGTGTATTTCTTGCGCTTCAAAAAAGGCCAAAATTTCACCTTTTTAACATTAGATTGATCACTTAAATTGTCATTGTGTCGCCATTTTTAATTGTAGCAGGTTCAATTTTGCTGTGCAATTTTTTAATATGATAAAAATAATATGCACAAACTGGAAATTATACATTATTGATATTTTTTTTACATTTTTAGTGTAACTGAAGCACTTTTGATTTTTGACCACGAAAAAGGTAAAAAATTACACAAATTATAATGGAACAAAAAAAGAAGCACACTGACCCCCCATGTTTGTAGATGTTTTAGAAAGAGAAACACATTTTCATTTGATTCATTAAATATCAAAAAAAGTTTAATAGCAGAACTTTTTATATCAAGCATTTAATCTGCAAAAAAAATGGTAAAAAATGAGTATTTTTTCATTAAAAAATAAAGGGTAGGGGTAACTAAAATCGGCTTTCTGAGTAAAAAGAATAAGATTAAGAAATTTAACTTCCATAATTTAAAAAAAAAAAATATTTTCATCAACTCTACAAACATTCATACACATCTGATAATACACTTGGAAGAAATTGTATGAATTTGTTCTGCAAATGGTCAAAACCCCCAAAAATCACCTAAAATCACATGTTGTGTTAAATTGGTATCTTTGACCGATCATAGCACAAAAACTAGGTATTTGAAAAGTATCCATCACATTTTATTTACCTTATAAGGAAAGGGCGTTAATAATGTTCATGTAACTTGTGCCCAACCCTTTTGCATTTTTTTGGCAATAAAATATGTTTAAACACACGGACATATAGGTGTTTTTTTGCATTTTCTACTATGCCATTAACTCCTTTTTCCAAAAAACCATATAAGAAAAAAAGTTTGATACAGGATTTTTTTGAATTCTCAGAGGTGTACATCCTTAACGAGTGATTTACTTAAATTAGAATAACTTCGTTTCATATGCCGTTGTTAAATGAATAAAATTTATACATAATTAAATGAATTATTTCATTAAATAAATATATTGCATACAAACACTTAACAGTTACTTACAACATCCAATTTCATGTGTCCCCAAAACCAATGGGCAGGACCAATTTGACTGAAGTTCTTCACTTTCCGACAGAGGGCGTTGTATCTCCACAGGGTAGTTACGACCGTCCACAACACGTACCCGGTCACCAGGGCGACCACGATCTCTATCAAATCGGCCATGGCTGCAAGGGAAATGTTATATAAACTTAAATAAGATGCTAATATTATCATAAAGTGATTCGCATAATCTCGTTTTACAGAAAATGTACGGGG